CTCTCTCTCTCTCTCTCTCTCTCTCTCTCTCTCTCTCTCTCTCTCTCACACACACACACACACACACACAGGGAGGGAGGGAGGGAGAGAGAGAGAGAAACAAGGAATGTCTTTTGGCTGCTTCTTGCAACTGTTAAAGATCAATAAACCTTTGCCAGAAGGCAAGTCATTAACCTTAATTGGGATAAGGGCTGACAACTTTTCAACTGTTTGCTGGAGCCTAACTTTGAAAAAGCTGGAGTTTGACCTTCTAAAAACAAATCTCTGCAGGTAACTTTTCTGCACACACACACACACACACACACGACCCACTGCTTGCATTATTACAGGCTCAAGCCAGACTGGGTCTTTCACGCCAACTGGCCACACCACGAGCAACCAGCATAACTGCTGTGCTCAAACCCGCATGGGGAGGGCTGCTCCAGTGACTACGGGGGGGTGGGGGGGGTGGCATCTCCCCAGCAGTTTTGGCCTGGCCAAGGAGAAGGCCCATTGTCTGGAATGTGGCCATCCTAGGAGGGGGCCCACCAGGAAGCCATTGGCCCTTCCAGAAGGCTAGGCGGAGTTGGAGGCCATTGCTCTGAGGGCAGGAGAAGGAGGGGGCCTCCATGGAGCTGAGACTTGGCCCCTTGACGAGAGGGCTCCGTCCCCAAGACTCTACGGTCCCTTCCAGTGTTTTCCATCTCTGCTTCAGGAAGTCCAGTCTGGGCTCTCTACCTCCCGCACAAAAGAGCACCAACTCCCTTCTCTTTCTCTTCCATCTACTCCAAGGGTCTCCAACCTTGGGAACTTGAAGACTTGTGGACTTCAGCTCCCAGAATCCCTCAGTCAGCACAGCCGGTTGAGGAATTCTGGAAGTGGAAGTCCCCAAGTCTTCAAGTTCCCAAGGTTGGGGAGCCTTGATTCTACACAACAGCCTTCCCCGATTTTCTACACAATAAGTTACCTTTCAGGGCTTAAAAACAAACATTCAAGGAGTCTCTTTTGAAGAAAGGGTTGATTAAAAAGAAAATGCATATGCCATGTTAGCAAGGCTTGGAAGACCAGCCTTTCCCACTGAGTGACAGCTTTTCCGGGTGGCCTGATGACCAGATGTCTTAGGTTTGTCCTGCAAATTTAGCACATCTGGAAGGCAGCCGCTGGAAGGTCCAGTGCCCCTTCCAAGTAGAGGAGCGATTCTGGAGAGAGGAGGTAAAGAAAGTGCCCTACACACAGGTGGCAGAAGGGGAGACGGAAACCAGGGAATATTGCCTCCTTTCAGTGTGTAGCTTTTTAAAACAATATTGACATTCTCTTTGAAATGTGTTTCTTCTCTGTCTGTTCTAAGTTGTGTGTCAGCGCCAGGGTTGCTGTTATTTGACAACAATGTCCAGGCTGTTTGGGAACAAGTGGATTCCTTGGCATGGTATGAAAGCCCTGCAGGTGCTGTACTCTGGACTTTTCACCCCAAGAAGCTGGGGACAAGAATGAATCACAAAGTATTGGAGGGCCCCGCCTCATTTTCTTACCTATGAGGCCTACAAGGAAAGCAGGAACAGAGAAAGGAAGAAAGATACAAAGGGTTGCAGAGCAGGAGGAGCAAAATACAGAATAACAGAGTTGGAAGGGACCTTGGAGGTCTTCTAGTCCAACCCCGCCTGCTCAAACAAGAGACCTTGTATCATCTCAGATAGGTGGTTGTCCAGTGTTTTCTTAAAAACCTGGAAGGAGGAAGCACCTACAACTTCTGAAGGCAAGCTGCTCCACTGGCTGATTTTAATCACTGTCAGGAAATTCCTCCTTCATTCCAGGTTCCTCCTCTCCTTGGTTAGTTTTCATCCATTGCTTCTTGTCCTGCCCTCAGGTGTTTTGGAGAATAGCTTGACCCCCTCCTTCTCTCTGTGGCGACCCCTCAGATATTGGAATGCTGCTATCATAATCATAATCAGTGGTGGGATTCAAATACCAGTTCTGTGGGCATGTCTTGGTGGGCGTGGCAGGGGAAGGTTACTGCAAAATCCCCCTTCCCTCCCCACCCCACTGACCTGCTTTCCAGCTCCGTTCTCCTGGGCAGGGCAACCGAAGGAGACCCAGCCGATCAGCTGGGACTCAATGGGAGGCAGAGAAGAGATGGGGTTGGTGGGGCCGGTCAGAGGGGGGATTGGCCGGTTCTCCAAACTACTCAAAATTTCCGCTACCGGGTCTCTAGAACCGGTCAGAACCTGCTGAATACCCACCTCTGATATCACTCCTAGGCCGTCTCTAGTCTAGACAAGAGGAGAGGAGAAAATGATGAAATCCGAGCAGCAACAGAAGGGAAGAAGGTGGGCAGAGAGGCCCTCTATTTCTCAGAGAAGAAAATTTCATTTTTAAAATTTATTTGTCAAATTTATTTGCTGTCTTCCTACCATGGGGCTACTCTAGACAGCTCACAGTAATAAAAAGGGAGGAAATGAAAGGAGTGCAAACAAAAGTCAAATATTATAACCTATAAAATAATCAGTGAAAAGGGAACACCATGAAAATAGTTTGATAACAATGGGAATATATCAATATTCCACAAAACAGCAAAACTGGAAAAATCGAGAGAGAGAGAGAGATTCTCAGCTTTTTGTGTTATGTGGTACTTGACATGGAGAGGAAACGTTAAAAGTGCCTTATTAATAGATACCTCCTAATCTCTGGGGATGATTAGCTATTCACCTTCCCCTCTGTCTAAATAAAGTGGGTAATGATTGCAGGATCCCAGGGTTAAATGAGGGAATGCAGGGGAGGACAAGATGTGGGAGCATCAGCACAAAAGTGAGGCCCAGGCAGCAGATCCGCCCTTGTAGGGGGGGGGAGGGAATCACCCAGAGGTCAAAATAGTGGCACCCATTTACCCTTTTGCAAAACCGGGGCAAGGCAAATCCCTCACCCACCCACCCCAAGGAAAAGGGCCCCCTTCTGGCTGAGAAGCCTCCCCCTGGGTGGGTAAC